GATGAAGATAGAATGTTAAATTTCATAGATCTTTACAGGAATAGGACCTTTATTGAGGATATCCTTTTTTTTTATCGTACAATAGGATTACCGACTCTTGTACTGTCTTAACACCAACTTGGTGCCAAGTTACTCCATTTTTTATTCAAGAAAAAAACAAGAGAAGTAGGGCAGTAAGAGAGGAAACTCGACCTTGGGCAATCATGTGGGCATGATAAAGGAATTCCAATATTATTGTCTTAGAAGTTGAACAAATAAAGTATTTAGTCAATAATGAAAGAAGACACGATTCCCACTTATTCATTTACCTCACTGTATCTTTGTTGTTGTTCATTAGGAAGACAGACTAGGATTCTTCTTCTTTTGAGTAGACGATATTGGTATCCTCTGGCACCTCTTTGCATTCAAAATAATCTTTTCAGATTAATGGGAAGACTTGTGATGACCATCTGGATGTGTTGTACCAAGGATACCCAAAGAAATTCAGAAAGTGGCCAGGGAAAGGGATGAGGGACGACAGAAGAGGTACAAGAACCGAAACTACATGGCATACGTACATTAAATGGGAGCCTAATTATGATAAATAAATTATTAAGTTGGTCTCCAATATTGCTCGGTTCAGGGAGATCTGCTAGCCTTGATGAAGCTGGAGATTAGCTTTATATACAATGAAATGTCAAGCCTAGAAAGCTGGATGGCGTCAGTGATGATAATTTTTCCATGCTTCGCCCTACTTTTCTCAATCCGGACAAGAAAGCAAATGTTGTTTGCAGTGTTTGAAGGTTCAACAACAATTAGGTCTAGTATGAAAGTCCATCCTTATGTGAATAGAGGATAGTATCTTACTTATAGTCACAAGGCTAGATATTCCTCTTAGTCAGAAGTGAGATATGAGATGGAGAAGCCAATAGTGAAGTAGGGTTCACAGATCTTTCTAAGAAAACCAAAGAAGAATGAATGAGTGAATCGCCATGACAAGGATTTGCTGATTGTGGGAGGAAAGCACGAAAGGTGAAAGATAGGAAAAGTAATATGAAGTGACAATCTTATAAACCCTAGAAGTCACCTAAAGGAATGGAAGTGCCACAATTCCTAGAGGAGATAAAAAGATAAGAAGTGGGTTCTATAACAAGCAAAAACAAAAAAAATGGAAGTTGAACCCTTTGTCCAATGGAAAAGGGGGTGTAAGAGTGGAACTTTTATAGGAACCTATTTCTTAGGTGATTATGCAATTTTTTGCTGTACTCTATGTTAATGCTGATCCAACTGGTGGTAGTTAGCCTCAGTTTTTGTTGCTTATTGGAAGTGCAATTGATACTAGTCTTTTATCTTTTGCTGATTGGATGTGATTTAATTCCAGGATGAAGCTGATCTAATTGACAGAGATGATGAGCAACAGTTTCTAGCCAGTGCAGACTATCTTACCAATGTTGGCCTGCCTGCCTTGATTTCATGTTTTGAAACTGCAACATCTGAAGTTCTAAAAGGGTAGGCTCTTTACTTCTTTCTTTTCCTCTCAGAAGTTAAAATGTGCATCTAGAGTTTAGTGGGTTGCTCAGTTCGATTCCATTTTTATTTTCAGTTTGGTAACTGACTAATTTTGATATTTGATTCTTCGAACTGAGTGATGGACCTATGAATTGATGGTTGGGTTCTTTAACTTTTTCCCAGGGTATGTTGTTGTTCTTTAATTTTCCCTCCCTGCTTTTCCCTTTTATGATTTAGTATGATGATGATATGAAATGAGCTTAAATGAAGAAATGGGGATTCATGTTCCAACCTCAACTTGTTTGGGACTAGGCGTAGTTGTTGTTGTTTCACTTTTATGCCAAAAGAGAGAATTTTCAATATTCAGTTGCAGTGAAACTGCTAATCAGGGCTAACCTATATAATGAAAACTTATGCATTAAAGTCTCAAATGATTAAAGCCATAGGCCATTTTCTTTGAATTTCAACCACAATGTTTTTCTTTTGCTGTCCTTGTAAAAGAGAAACCTTTTTCTTTTGCCATCATTGTGTAGCCATACTTTAAAGTTCAATATTATTATGATAATTGGTTTCTAATGAGGGATAAAATCAAGATGGGCATGATGCAAGAGGTTGGAAAAAATTAACGCTCAACATATTGCGGTGATGCTCATTTGTGAATAGCTGCTGGAGTGCAACAAGGTGGAGATATATATTGAAATTCTGCATCATTGATGTGTAACTATTGTAGTCTGGAAATGATGATAAGATAAGGGAGAAAATAAAGGCATAATACATAAACATTTGCTCAAACTTGGTCTCAACTGGCAAGTGAACACTCCAACTTTAAGTATGCACATATAGACACTTCACCTCGTCTCCAATGTATCATTGTCTCCTTTGTGTCAGTCGAATACTCCAACTTACAAAATATAATCTAGACACCTCCAATTAATCACAGCGTTGAGTGTTCACGAGACATAATGAGGATGAGTTGGATTGTTTAGTTGCCAGTTTAGACCGAGTTTAGGTGTCTAGATGTGCAGTCTCAAAGTTAGAGTGTTTACTTGCAGCTGAGACCAAGTTTGAGCGTTTGTTGTGCATTAACGAAAAGGTCAAGGGAGAGAGGGATAATACACCTGGGGTTTGTGAAAAAAAAGGAAACAAAGAGAAAGTCAAAAGGTAAAAAACTTTGGAACAAAACAGCTCAACTCCAGAACAATTGCTTGCGAGAGTTTGAAGAATCAAACCCATGTGTGTTTAAATGCATAGAATTTCCATCAAACCGCAACGAAGTTCTTTTAAAATTTTAAATTAATATGTACACACGCACACTTAGGTAGAGAGAAATGAGAGATTGACAACAGATTCAAAATACCTAAATTTTACGATCTGGGAACCACATCCTGAATCATCAGGCAAACAGTAGATCAGATAGCTTGTGTGTTATTCTTCTTCATTATGTTTCTTTTTGTAGTTTTACCATGTAAGGCGGTAGAAGTTAGATGCACCACTCTCTTTTTTTCTTTTATAGCTGCCTATAAAGGATGTCTAGTTGGACGCCAATCGACATAAAAACACTATCTATTGTGCAAGGAGTCTTTTGAGCTATCAAAATGTGATTATTTACTGCCAACCTCCTAATCCAATGGACAATGAGAAGGGTCAAATCATCCCCTGTCAGGGTACGGGGTTAATCAAACCTTTAACCTGCATATGAAGCCCCAGGAACAAAGAAACCATGCCCATGCAATCCCAGGTCATATAACAGATATTACAGAGGACCATGCAGGGCCGGTGGGTGTTCACTAAGAAAATGTCTCTAAATCGATGTGTGGTACAAAATCACATGCTATTTGGAAGGCGCAATGTGTTGGAACATTTTCCTCTTGGGGTTGAACATATGTAGTGGATGGATTGCAGGCGATTGACCTTCTTAAACCATAGGATTGCATATTTTATAATTTGTATTTGAAATTAGTTATATCTTGCCAAAATGTGTCTTGCAAAAATTACTGATCTTTTGGTTTGCAGAAAACAGTTGAAGGATTTCTTCAACACAACTGTACTTCATGATACCATTCTGCAGATATTGGCCACCTTTCTGAGCATGGGAAGCCCTCATCACTGGATGGGCTTTTTGATGCCAGAGCCCTCTAAACTATATAACTCTGCTGCTACCTCTAGCAGTGATAGTACAGAACCTTCGCCTGCATCCAAATTTGAACAACTTATGCTGGAGGCACAGGCCGTTTTGTCAAGGTACTTCTGTTTGCTTTTCCCATCGTGTTGCAAATAAAGATTCAGCTTGGTACTAGTTCTTCACTATATTGAGATACAAATTTTTATAAAGGTTGAGGCACTAGGGGAATATTAATCTGGAATGTGAAAACAACTATGTGCACATTGAGATTTTCTCGATATCAATCTGAAAACCCAATTTTTGACATCTTTTGTTGCTTTGGAGCACATAATAGAACTATTTTCACCTTTACAAGGAAAGTGACTAAACTCCCCACCCCCACCAAAAAATAGAAGAGGGAATATAGATTAAAAATGCAAAAAAGATGAAAGGAGCTGACTGCTGTGTTACTTGTAAAGATAAGTTTAGAACTGAACGCAGCAGATTAAGCAAAATGTCTTCATTCTTTACCTCTGTATTGATGCCTGACATCATTCAATATTGACAAACTTTCAGGTATTTGTTTCTCATACTATTTCCTTTGGCAAATCTGTTGGTTGATTACTTATCCTTTTGTTGTGCAGCTCCGAATTTGAGAATATTCTGGATATGTCACTTAAAACAGCGGTGGATGTGATGATGGAAGACATAAAGGTCCTCTGTGGAGAAACCAATTTAAAGTTAGGTATTCCATTAGCTAAACTTCTACCACGACTTGCTCATATGAGTCACATCCTGCTTGAAGAACCCAATAGGGACAGGTACATCCAAATTGTCCAAAGCATGCCAGAAGTAGAAATGTTCTTCACCTTGTTATATGCAAGCACACCAGCTTCATAGTGTAGGAGCATGTTGTATTCTTGTGTAGCTTCAGTGTAGGTGTGGATGTAAAAGATTGCATATAGCATTTTGTTAGCTCCTTCAAGGGTTAAAATTTGGACAAAAATAAGAAAACTGAAGATTTTCTGGTGAAGTTTCATTCTACCTGTTACCACAGTGTTGCTTAGGAGTATTAAATTTATTACGCAGACTGGTTATTTCATCAGCTGAATTTAATAGCTTAAAGCTGCTTTCAAAGCGTGCAATTTTGTGTTTCCCAGCTTTGTTGTATTTTTTTCCTTGATTGATTGTCCATGTGTGTATTGACTTGTGCTGTTGTTTATCTACTTGAGAGCTAAGATTAGCAGATGTGAATAAAGATCGGTCCTTGTAAGTGTACCTTCGTTTTGAGGATATTGGAACTTGATTGATACGTGCATCATAAAGATTGTTTAAGTACCTCCTTCTGATGATTTGATCGGTCATTTATATGATCTGTTGATGGTGATTTTTACTGTGACTAGAGAGAAGGGAAGGGAACCCTTCAGTCCAAGAAAAGGCAGTGAAAAACCGAGCTCAGCTCCTGCATCATTGGAGCAAGAACATGTCCAGGATGTTATTCATCTTCTTTGACATGCTCATGAGCCAATGATTCAGCAGCAAAGATCAGTTCCAATAACCCACCTTGGGTTGGACTAAACAGTTTCCTTCTCTCCTCAGCTTTCTCAAGTAGCTAGTCACAGGAGGAGCCCTTTTATATATAATAATAATAATAGTTTCCTCCCGAATTGTTTAATTGAACACGAAATTTAAAGAAATAAAAAATACTAAGAAGCAGTGTTTTCACATGTTGTTACAGGAATTTGAGGAATACTTTCCGTGTCTCATTTCATATCATAAAGTGCGTCTGCCTAATCTCTTTGTTTAATCGTTATTATTGTCCCCTTTATATTTACATCAACAACAGTACTGACGGCGAAATTAATGATGTTGAATTTTTATATTTCTTAAGATTATTGTTCCAATCTTTATGCTTTGCGACAAGGTATTAGGCACCTAGCAGCTATACGTAGTAGTTTATTTTAGTTTTATTATTCAATAATCTAGACGAATAGAGGTGTAATTATAGTGTTTAGCTAATCTATACTTTCATTTGGAAGTGACTTATATGCCAATTGCTATTTCTTTTATAGAAAGAAAATGGATCATATAAATTCTTACTACTCATTTTCACTTTATATAGCGTGATTTTTTCATTTTCTAACAACGTTATATGAGAATGATAAAAAATATTCATTTTGTTCACTTTTACTTATCAAATTTGAATTTGACACGTTCATAAGAAAATAATGATTGATATAATTATTGTACCATACTATCTATATTAATTGATATTTAGTACTCTCTATGTTCCTTTTAGTTGTCACATATACTATAAATACTTGTATCAAAATACTCCCTCCGTCCCTATTTAGTTGTCCATATTTCTTCTTTTAGTTGTCCCTATTTAGTTGTCCATTTTGACAAATCAAGAAAAGACAACAAAATTTTTCCTATTATACCCTTATTTAAATAAAGTTGTCATAAATAAAATAAATAAACTTATGAACTTCCTAGCATTTAGTTATCTTGAGTGAATTTATTTTGGAATTGTAAATTGTACTATAAGGGTAAAATTGTAACTTCACTATGGTAATCATTGTTGCCTTAATCTGTGTGTCATTTCTAAAGTGGACAACTAAATAGGGACAGAGGGAGTAGTTGTCAATTTAAACAATCAAGAGAGAATTAATTACTATCTTTTTTCAACTTTGCCCTTGACACTAATTATTCTAGAATTAAGAGGCACATATACAGATAAAGGTTAAAGAATTAATAAGAAATATATTGATCAAATAACATTTTTTAATAATTTTTTTAAGAATTGTATTAAATTTTATCACAACTAAAAATACAAACAAAGTTATTAGATATTGAAAAGTAATTAAGAAAATAAATAATCAATACATTAAAAATAAAAATGAAGATCTATTTATGGCGAAGCAAAAGCGAACAAAGGACCGAAAAGATAGAAAAAACACGCGCTATTGAGGAGTTGGTATATTTCAAGGGTAAAATGGGAAAAGAAAGAACAACCTATAAAATGAAAAAGTAATGAACATTACTCCCTCCTCCGTCAGGGCTAGTACTCGCTGCTGGCTTATTACACATCGGTAAGAAGGTCCGAGCAATAATGGCGACAAAAGACGGGGACATTTTGATGCTAGAGGCCCCGCCGGAGTATCGTCCGGCAGTGTCTAGTAGTGCGGAAGTGATAGATGCTTTGCCGTACATTGATGACGACTACGGTGATCCCAACGTGAAAGAAGAGGTGGACCGTTTGGTCGAAGAGGAAATGCGCCGCAGCTCCAAAAAACCTTCCGATTTCCTCAAAAACCTCCCTCCTCTTCGTAAATTCAACTTCGAGGTTTCAATCAATACTTGCCAATACTTCTGCTCTTCAACTATTTTCTATGTTAATTCTAGGGTTCCATTTTTTTGAAGTACTCATTCATTTCTATAAGAATTAGCTTTATTGAAGGATTAAAATTGCTACTTTCTCGTGAATTGTGTTGATTTGGTAACTACTTGATGAGGCCATGATTTTTGCTCGTATAATGATTGAATCTGTTTTAGAATCATCCTATGCTTGCGAGGGAATATGAGCGGGTGAGAGCTGGAAAACCTCCAGTACAAATAGATACTTCACGATATGGACTCGAGGTGCCGCCTGTGAACAAACGCAATGATGAAACTGCATGGAAGCAATCGCTTCAAAAAGCTCAGCGTTTACTGCAGCATCAAGTAATCAGGTAGGCTACCTAAATCCAATGGTGAACTAGAGGTAGTATTTTTTAGAGTTCCCTTTGCTAATTATATACTCATGGTTCTCAATTTAAGCTCTTTTTTTCTATAATCAAAGTATCTGTCCAACAATTAGTATATATATGTGTAAAATCTAGATATGGCACATGATAGTTAATAACCTTTATTGGTAGGAAGAAACTTTTTGTATCAGTTCCTCAATCACCTTTAAATGCAAAAGAAATGAAGTCTGTAAGGCTACAAGGTTTAATAAAATAGATGTTGCAGTGAAGCATGATTAAAGAGTACTTCTTCAAAGAAATAGCTAATATATGGTGATTACATATATTTTCCAAATAACTTCTTAATAAAAAGCATTGTGTTTGTTTTGACTTCTATGTCAAATCCAAAAGCCTGCTCGACGTGTGGGGAAACATAGTACTATTTGTCACGTGTTGGGGAGTGTGTTTGTATTTATTTCAATGAAATAGGATTCTGGAGAACTTGTATATACTATCAGCTTCAGCAGGTCATATCCTAACAGAAGACATGTGAATTTTGTGTCACTTTGTTACCAAAGTTTTTTACTTAGCTTTTGTTAATCAGGAAAAATTCTTTGTACATCACAATGTCCTACCTGTATATGGAGGCATCTAGTACTTTGCTACTAAAACATTCATGCCTTCGATAGATATATTATGGTTAAAAAAATTCCCCTTTTTTGTTGTGCACAACTGTGCTTATTGCTTCTGTAACCAAAAGTTAACCTTGATACTCTATAGGCTAGAAAATCTGGATCTAATGTCAAAGCATGGTCCTGATGTGTGGAAGCTGTACAATCAACGATTGGAGGCATTTCTAGCCAGGTTCTTTTTCTTTTTCTAATTTTATATTTTTCATGGTGTTCTGCTATCGCATCCTTATTTAACAATTTACTGATGCTGTGACCCCAACTTGTTTGGGACAAAAGCGTAGTTATTTTTCAGCTATTTCATCCTTAACAATGTACTGCTACTTCTGTCTTGACATGATTTTACATGCTCCCTCTGTTCATTTTGTATGACAGTGCGTGATTGGACTGGGTCAAAGAAAGAAATCTTTTTGCACATTCTGAAATACCCTTCGAACTTGTTATCTTAAACATGTCATAACATTTGGTTACAAGAACATGTCAATCAAGAGAAAATGATAAGCTTAAAGTTAAAAGAGTTTCCAACTATCGCTTGTGTTAATTATTTTTGGAACAGACTAAAGAGGAACGAATACCATAAAAAACGGAACAAAAGGAGTAATAGATATTTGATTGAAAATGATAAAAGAAGTTTTCATGCTTTGGACAAAATGACCTTGAAGACTATAGTAACTATTTTGGACTTGGTTTCTAGAGTAAATACTTTTGCATAAAAATAAGCAAGGACATGTTCTATTTTTTGGTGAAACAATATGATATGATCAAACAGTTGCCCTTCTTCACTGCTGGTGCAATTGTGATTCAAAAGGGAGAAGTATTTATCACTGTATTTACACATCTGGAACCAGTTCTGCACAGTATTAATATGTCTCTTACAAAAAGAGCATGATTCGCTCGTCCTTTCTCCTCTGGTATTGCTGCATCCCTTCCATGGCTGATATCAAACTAATTTTCTGCAGAATGCAATCACAAGCTGCTGAACTGAATGAAATGATCGAAACAGCAAACAGGGAAAGGAAATATCATCAGGTATAAGTATCTTGTGTCACTACTGATCTGTTTCTGTAGCGTTTTGCATTGTTCTTATTGATCTGTTCGCCATTGCATAACAGCAAACTACTGCATATGAGCTCAATGCGTTGTCCATGCAATGGAGAGAGCTCTGTCTGAAAAATATAGAAATTCAATCTGCATGTGGGGAACTACAAGACCACAGAGAACAACTGAAGAAGGAGGCTGAAGAGAGGTCTGTTTTGTATTGCATATCATCTATGCCTTTTCTGGTTTTAATAGGCTAGCTTATAAGATATTAACCTCTTTTACGGCAGGGGCTGGAATTTGGAGGCTAATGTTGAGAATGGCAACACGCCGTATGCAGAATTATGAGGTATTGATTTCGCTATTATTCTGTTATGCTTAGTTTGTATCTACTGGATTAGTTATCGATGATATTAACATGTAGGGGGGAATCAGATAAAAAGTTGGGGAGGTACAAGGGTGATTTAGGTTGAAGGAAATGGAGAATGAATTAGATGGTTGAAATGAATGTAAAGTATGATACGGGGAGTGCAGAATAGAAATAAAAAATTACAATTCTATAAGTTAAAGAACCAATTGTGTGAGATGAGAAGGAAGATAAGAAAAAGAGAAAAAAAACTATGATCTGCAATGTTCTGACCTTTTTAATTTCCTATAAAAAATGTAGCAAATTTTCAAAGAAAAAAATTCCCATCATTTTTCTTCCATATCCAAACATGAAAAAACAGATTCCTGGAATCATGTTTCCTTAGCAAAATTCAGGTTGCATATACAAGGTCTTATAAAACCTTGTGGAGGAAGACAATACTATTAGATTGGGTTTGGCTGGGGGGGTTATGTTGAATTACGAAGGCTGTAGGGAATGTTTTCCCTCTTCTCTTGTCGATTTCAAAGATGTGTGAGAATTGTCAGATTAATATTGTGAAAATATGTAGGTGTAGGTCCATTAATCATGAAGATTTGCTGCTGCTGGACTTAGATGTAGAAGTTGGTCAAAGGTTTGAAGTCCTTGCTTTAGGTCAGTGTGACGAGGTTTGACCATGTCTTTTGTTGGCGATATTCTGTTAGGCAATCCTGGTGAGGAATGTGTCCAGTGTGGAAAAACTCACTGCTTGCCTCTGTATCTCCCAGTTCTTTGTGCACATGTTAATTTCCTTATCTTGGTAACAGCTCTAATTATGAATAGTTAATCGGTGATGTTAATGTTTGTCTTCTTATTTCCCCTACAAAATTTGTTTTTGCTTTTCTCTGGACTCCCAATATGCTTTTGTTTTGCAATCTGTACTGCCATCCGTGGGAAGAACAGAATCATAGACTTCTATACTGGGAGCATTGCGAGCATAATATATATATTATTGCTAAAAGCAAATGAGTGTTTTGACAGTTCTATTGCTAAAAGCAAATGAGTCGTTACCAGACCAGATATAACAAGGAGTAGCAAAATTAGCCCATGAAAAAGCAATTAAATAAGTTGGGTCGTTCAGGTTCACATTAACTCGAATTTACACGACGTTTGGTAGGATTCCAGTCACGCATTAAACTCTAATAGAGACTCACCAACTTAATTTCGTATGTATAAAGGGATTTACGTAATAAATTTATCTTCATAACTCAACAGGAACAACAACATTCAATTTATTATCTCTTTATATAGGCAAAGATATTTTGATACAAGTTAAATTTATTGAACTAATAATGTAATTTTTTATTATTATTATTTGGTTTTCCATCCGGTGTTGAGTACCCGCCCGTCTATCCTGGATTCACGCTGCATAGGCACCCTTCAGGGGAAGTGCTCCTACCAAGGATTTTTCTATACTCGGGACTCGAATCCCATAGCTCTGGTTAAGGAAGAAACTGTTGGGTTTAGCAAGGTGTGAATGGAAAATAAAAAGAGAAAATGGAAAGTGGAAAGAACCAATGAAAGTGGGGGAACCAATTTTGGAGGGAAAATGAAAAGTCATTGCAAAAGTGCAAATGAAAGGTCATTTTTACCATATTGGTAGAAGAAAAGAAATTGTTGTCCTTATATTAGGAAACACTTCCTTTAGTTCTTAAAGGGTTAAGAAGAAGGTGCCCCTCGCGCCGTTGTCGTCGCTCGCTCGGCTTCGGCAAATGATTTGATTGATAATATTTTTGGACAAAATTTATTTAATCAATCTTGTTAAATCATTTCCTTTCTCTTATAAATTAATTCCGAATGTTAATTAAATAACAGAATTAATTTGGCACAACTGAATTTATTTGAAATTCACGTGTAACGGTAATCCTTCCGAAAAGTCGTTACTTTTCCCAAAGGACACAATGTTCTGGAAAAAACGGGTCTAAACAAATTTTTCTGAACAGACGCGTTCCTTGCTGCAAATGGCTATAAATAAGAGGTCTTTTTCATTTTTTCAAACACCGAAAATTTTTCCTCTTTGCATACATTTTCTTACATAAATAAAATTGTCAATCGACTGAGTCTGTGTGTGCTCTTGTTGCTGTTCTTGCGTTCCCTGAAGTTATTGAAGTTTGAGGTACCGCTACTTCTTTAACAGGTTAATCCGTTTTATCTTGGAAGGAATTAATTTGCAACCTCGGGTACAGTGAGGGGATTAAATTTCTTAAGAAAACACAATAATTTCTGTGGACTCAGATTAAAAATCATTCTATCTATTTCATCTTTTTTCTATTTCTGTATTTTTGACTAACCTGAATACAGGAGATAACAAAAACAACCTCATATGTTGTACTACATCCTTTCCTTTGTGATATAATGTAAATTACGCTATTACAAGCGGTGAAGCACCTGAGAGACTCCTAATTACAACTGTTAGGCACAATCAAAAGATGCCCAAATATGAATAATTTTAAAAAGAAGTTAGAGGATCCACTTTTAACTCTTTTCTTTTTAGAAAGAAAAATAGTTGGAACGTATCAAGCAAAAGGGACAAAAAATTGGCCTTATTCAAGTAGGATTTGTGACCTTCAGATTGAGAATATATATGGTTCCCATGCTCATAGGAATTAGGATTGGTGAGACTTAGAGCCCGTTTGGCTTAATTTAAAAGATGTAGTTTTTAAAAATTAAAGTTTATTAAATTTTAAGTTAAAAGATGAAAAGTAGGTAAGTATCTATTTTTAACTTATTTCAAGTTATTTTTAATTTTTGTCAAACACTTTCAAAAGCTAAAAATGTCTTAAAATAGATTTGACCAACTTTTAAGTCAATCCAAACAGGCTCTTATGAGTACTCTACCACTAAAAAGAAGTGTTTTGTATTCCCTCCTAATTAAATTATTTGTCGTGTTTTTTTTATACGATTCATAATTAAACATTAAATAAGAAGACTGGAAGAATATGTAATCTTCTTAAATAGCCTCATTTATGTATACGCTTCATAATTAAACATTAATTAAGAAGACTGGAAGAGTATGTAATCTTCTTAAATACCTTCATTTAAGTATTAAAATATAACATCGCTTAATTAAATTTCAACTTTATTTATGTATCATTAGTTTTCTATAATTCAAGTGTATGTAATCTTCAAAAATAATTACTACTTTACTACAGACAAGACGAAGATGAATAAATTTAGATGATAAAATAATAACTACATTTTAAAATGATAAATAAATTTAGATAATTATTTTTAAAAATCACTACAGACAAGACGAAGATGAAAAAAAAAGAGGCAAATTACAGAAATCACATACTTTTAAAGCAAAATTACAATCTATCCCTTAAAAGTTTATAATTACAGAAATCCTTCAAACGAGTACAATAATATAAGCGCTGATACATTAATCTGATGCGCGAGATACATTAATCATTAAGTAAGATACATTACATTTTATACATGATACACTAATCTGATGCGCGAGATACAATAATATAAGCGCTAATATATTAATCTGATGCGCGAGATACACTAATCTAATGCGCGAAAATGAGGAATTTTGTAAATTTATAAAACTTATAGGGGATAATGATAATAAGTAAACTAAAAGGTAGTATTTCTGTAATTTTTCTAAAAAAAAAAAGAAAGAATGAACTGAAAAATGAAGCGAGGGTTATCTTGTTTGTGATAATACGGCATATAGCACTCTGTTCGATTTTACTGCTCACTTTGAAATTTTGTATGATTATTAAAAGTTATCGATTAATATTTTACAATATGTATAGTTTCAAGTTAACCAATGATTTGGAAAATATATTATTAATGTTGAGGATAAAATAGGAAAATTTAATTATTTCATTTTTATATGTTAAAAGTGAAAAGTAAATAGTGATAAATTTATAAAATACTATCAAATTGTGAACGGAGAAAGCAATTGTTAATACTCCCTTTATTCTATATTAATTAAAATTTTTGAGACTTTTATTATTTTTCAAATTAATTTAATTGTTCAATTTTCAAGACTACTTTTAAAATGTTATTTCAATTTTACCCTTCATTTGGATTTTCAATGTGCTGACTTAAATAAATTTGATAATAATTAATAAGGATAAAAATGTTTACTTTTTTTAAGGAGTGAAATATCTCAAAAATTCAATTAATATGAAATGAAGAGACAATTAATATGAAATGGAGAGAATAGTATTTGGTGTTTGATAGACAAGTGTTTGATATATAATTTGTCTTTGGTTTAAATTATTTGGTGCGAATCTTGTAGGAGAATTTCAAGATAAGTTATAATGATATAAAATAAAAATGAATGTTAAACAACATTTGTTTGTTAGTAATAAATTATATAATAGTATTTTGATCTAATAAATCAATTTTTCTTATCGGCTTTGATCATTTATGAACTAATTAATAATCCGTTTTCCTTATCGGCGTTGATTATTTTATAAAGCTAGGTATTAGCATAAATATTAGCTCTTGTTGCAAGCTACCTTGAGCCCAGCAAATGCATTAGTTAAAAAAATATATATATATATTTTTTACTAGTCTAATTATAATGAATAACTAAAAAATGATTACGAATTAATTTTTTTTATATAAACAGTGTATATTTTCAACAAGTAATTGTTTTTAACTTTAAAAAATATTGGAGAAATCCCGATACATTGCCAATAGCATATTAAGAGGATGATTACTGCAAAACAAAATTAATGTTAATACTTACTTCCATCTCTAATCATTCTAAAAAGAACCTGCAACGATTTCTAATAGTCAAAATGATTAGTTAAAAGTAAAAAAAAAAAAAAAACATTTACAACACACATTGAATTTATTAAAAACTGCTGGCAGTAAAATAATATTAACACAACTTGATACATATAAATAAAATAACAAATAATTATCAACTTTATTCTTTGTATTATACCGTAAAAACTATCTTAAGCTTAAGTTGAAGTTAGGACCAATGATCTACTTAGTCAGATTTCAAAATAAAAATATCTTCCCAAGATAAGATTCAAAATAAAGAACCTACACTGCATTTTCCACACATCTGTCCCAATATTAATTAATGCAACATAGCTTTAATTTGCACAAAGATCAAGAATCGAGAAAGTAGCTATCAATAGCCTAGACTAAACCTAATGAAAGATTAAAATATTAAGGATTTCACTTTATTTTATTCAAAAAAACTAATATGTACACAAAGTAAAAACAAACAAGTATTTCCCAATTTACACAACTGTAAAAATTCAGTTTCTAAAATATTTTCTTCCACAACTCAAATCTAGACAAACGATAAAGCTGCGCTGAAAGACTTCAAATCCAAATCCAACATTTCTTCAGAAGCCTGAAATAGGAAAATCAGATCTAAACAGACCCTCAAAAAATATTAAAAAGTAAACAACATTTCAAAATTTAACCAAAATAATATATACATTTAAACAGTAGCTAGAAATAGGAAATAAGATCTACATACCTTGAATATTAAATCTAATACTAGATCTAATAAAAATAAGTACCATATGACTAGATTTAATAACATAGAAGAAAAAAATGTACAAATCTAGCAAGGAGATACGAATGTAGAGCTCCCTTCAATCCAAAAAATGATCAAACAAAAGGTAAAATAAAGCTCCTGACATATGCAAACCCACAAAGCTATCTATATGTTAAATCATAAATAGATAGGGCTGAGGAATCCATAGGTCAGCAGCTCAATCTAACCTGTTAGATCTTCTGTTGGACTTCAAGGAGCTCCACTCCCATAACAACTAATAATAACACAAAATATATCAAGTCAACATGTACAAAAACCCTAATCTTGTCCTAAAACCTATCATAAAACATCAAGTTAAAAACCCACAAGAGATTTGGATCTATATATATATATATATATATATTTCAAAGAGGAATTAAAAAAAAATTATAACCTAACTTGTTGAAAGTAAAACACTAAATTTTACTTTTATAGAGAGCTAAAGAATGAGAGAAGTGAGAAATGATGAAGGAGAGGGGTTGTATATATAGTGGTATAGGAGATGGAGTAACATTGGGGATTGGGACTAATTTATGTTTTTTCTTTATTACTCTATCATCTATAGGATATATTTGTAATCACATTCACACACAGGAAATTGACCATGGTATTTTTTAAAAATATTATTTTTAAAGGTGAATTTAAAATTTTAATTTTATAAATTCTTGATTCTAGAATGTCCGATTTCAAGTTTTAATAATGAAACTTGAATTTTTACAAAAATACATATGTAAGGAATATGAGTTAAATCTATTAAATTGGATTGAACTCTTATTTTAAGGCTATATATAATCTTATTTGTATTAATTTTGATATTTTTATTTATGTGAAAGAGTTACGATATCTAGGACTAAATCATTTTTCTTTTTTAAATAATTTTCACATTTTTAAAAATAAAATTTTGAGTCATTATTTATGATAACTTAGTTATTTTTTTATATATTTTTTAAATATATAAATTTTATTTTAGAAAAAATAACATATCAAATCTTATTTGTATTAATTTTGATATTTTTATTTATGTGAAAGTGTTACGATTTCTAGGACTAAATCATTTTTCTTTTTAAAATAATTTTCACATTTTTAAAAATAATATTTTGAGTCATTATTAATGATAACTTAGTTATTTTTTTATATATTTTTTAAATATATAAATTTTATTTTAGAAAAAATAACATATCAAATCTTATTTGTATTAATTTTGATATTTTTATTTATGTGAAAGAGTTACGATATCTAGGACTAAATCATTTTTCTTTTTTAAATAATTTTCACATTTTTAAAAATAAAATTTTGAGTCATTATTTATGATAACTTAGTTATTTTTTTATATATTTTTTAAATATATAAATTTTATTTTAGAAAAAATAACATATCAAATCTTATTTGTATTAATTTTGATATTTTTATTTATGTGAAAGGGTTACGCGTAATTTTGCTAATGGGTTTTAGGAGGTGAAAATAAAGAAGTTGTTTCCAAACGACCTTTAGCTCAAGTAAAATAATACAAAGTAGATTTGAAAATGAAATACAATAATGAAAAAGACATGTTTCAAATAATAAAGATAAAATATAACGACTACAAATAATATACTAGTTGAATCAGAAGAATTCGACAAGTGATTGTAGTAATAGAAGAATGGTAATAGTACCATCATATTGGTAAGGAAAACTAGCCAACGATCGAATGTTCGCATCATTATATTTGGGGTCACGTCCTCGTTAAGTCACAAAATTGTCATGTCCTTTTTCGATCTAGTTCTACCCTTTTAGACATTTTTTAGCCAATTGCTCACACCTCATGACAAAGGCATCGAACCATTAATCTCTTTATATATTCAAAATATGTCAGTCTCCCTTCTCTCATCTTGTCTATATCGAAGGTCACTCCTATGAATATCATTGTTCTTAATCATATCACTCTTAATATATGACATATATCCACTTAAACATTCTCATTTTTCTAAGTTGTCATCCTTAGAGATGAGTGAAAGTGTATTTGCTTTTGACCGGGCAACACTATGCCATACAATATAGCTAGTTTAGATATCATCTATAAAACTTACTTTTAACCCTTGACGACAAATTCTTCACATGGGCACCTAATGTGAGCTTTCATTTCGATCATCCACCTTGTTTTATTTTGATATCTGACATCATCATCAATTACTTTATTTCCTTAAATTATTGATTCATTAAGATACTTAAATTTTTCTCTCTTGAAGGCAACTTGTGTATCAATCCTCAGTACTTCTATATTTGTCTCCCATGTTATGTCACTAAACTTCCACTTCAAGTACTCCTAATCATGCTCAACTTGAACCACTTAGACTTGAAAGTCGATTTTCAAACCACCAACATATTGTTAATTTTACTATGTATTTCGTCATTCTATATTTGTCTCTCATGTTACGTCACTAAACTTCCACTTCAAGTACTCTTACTCTTGTTCAACTCAAACCAGTTAGATTTGGAAGTCAATTTTCAAACCACCAACATATTGTTAGTTTTACAATGTATTTCATCGTTTGATACTATATCATCACAAATAATATACGCAATATAATACCTTCTCTTTAATATATATTATTAAAGTAATTTTATTTTAGAAAATTTAAACCTAAATTTATTTTTCCAATATTTTTAGTACCTTCATATAAATTGAACCTTGAGTTAAAATCTAAATTTATTTGTCCTCATATTTTCTACTATCATCACATAAATTGAAGAAGAAAAAAAACCATTCACTTTATGACCCTCATTAAAGATGTATAGTGGGTACTATTTACCTTGTTGGTTGCACCCATATCTATTGAGTCTCGGGAACCAATGTATATATAGTCCTTTGGATTTTATAAATTGATTAGATTCTCTTACACATATTTGAATGCATATCACATGCACTTGTCACCCAAAGTTACCTACAAATTTACACCTCCCTTCTTGTCTTTGTTACACACACCCTATAGCACTTGTAGGGGCATGTACTTTTTTTTTACTATACTATACTATATAATATTTTATTTTATTTTTGACGTTAGTTTGACTATCTATGTGGTGTTGAAAAATAATACTCTACTCTATAGTATTAAAAAAGTCTGTCCACCATTATGGAATGACAAAAGTAAATTTGGTGTCGTTGCCTTTCCAACTGTATTTCCTTGTCCTCTCCTCACCATTAAAGTTGTTTTAGGGTTTTGTGAAGAATAAATATCAATCTTTCTCATTGTATATATGCATGGTACCCACAAACAATCTGGATTCAAATTTTGAATTTACCATATTAACATCCAATATTTATTGGACATGTTCTGCGTGGACCTAGATGTAGATCGATTAATAGGTATGAAATTATGATAAGTGAAGGTATTAAAAGAAAATAGAATACACATAAAATTACATGGAAGAAAGCATGTTTTCAAATGACCTCTTGATGCTTGGTGATATTAATACATACTTAACTATAAATAGAATACATTATTTTAAATTCATATGAAACTTTTATTATTTTTAAATAACTTTTTTTATTTATTAGATTGAAATGATATAATTAATATGAGATTAGTGAAAGAAATAAGAATTTAGATTTCAACTTATTTAAATTGAGACATAATTATTATTAGTAGTAGTAATAGTACTATCAAATGGTTATATCTACCACCATCCCAAACATCTCTTATTTGGACATAGATTATGCACTAAAATGTCATTTGACTTGCAAAATAAGAAGAAATATCATGTGGGTGACCATCTTGTTTTTTTTTTTCTTTACAAAAGTAGACTTTGTTAGATATTGAAAATATAATCAAGTAAACAAAATATAATTTTTTAATAATTTAAACTTTTAGATGAAATAATATTACATTTCAATATTAATACTTTCACGAAAAAAAACTCACAAAACTTCAACTATTTTTTCCAACATAGTAAAATGCATATTTAAAGATAACCTAACTTTCAAATATTATTTTCAAACTTCAAAAAATTATTTTCAACTAAATCTATATATCCAAAAGGCACAACTCCCCCCCCCCCCCAACCCCGAAAAATAAAAAACTACCCTATATCTTTTCTATTTACCTTCAACACCAAACCGTAATTAAAGCCATCCCTTTCCCCTCATTATTTTTCTGTAGGTGTTCCCCTTTATCTCTCATTTTCCATGATAGCAATGTCTAATTTCACCTTTTTCTTAATTTTACTTTTGGTAAAGATAAATCACTTATCTTTTCTCCATATTCTTTGTCACCATGGTCAATGGTATATATATACACACTTTCATGAAACTGTTATTAATATAATAATGTATAAAGAGCTAAAATAAATCCTGACAAATGCAATAATTAAGAATGAAAACATATGTGACATTAATCTATCACGATAATGAATAAATTGTTGGGTGCAATACGAAGGTAGACTCGAAAATTTTAAATTTATAAGTTCTAAATCGTTACTCTTTTTTGTTTCTTAATGAATCTTTTAGCATGCATAAACTAAAATTCTATCAAACTCATAATTAAAGGGCTAACTTTGTCTCTACACACATCCCTTCAAAAACAATAAATAATAGAGTAATTTTAAAATTTATAAGTTCTAAATCGTTACTCTTTTTTGTTTCTTAATTGAATCTTTTAGCATGCATAAACTAAAATTCTATCAAACTCATAATTAAAGGGCTAACTTTGTCTCTACACACATCCCTTCAAAAACAATAAATAATAGAGTAATTTAAAAATTTATAAGTTCTAAATCGCTACTCTTTTTTGTTTCTTAATGAATCTTTTAGCATATATAAACTAAAATTCTATCAAACTCATAATTAAAGGGCTAACTTTGTCTCTACACACATCCCTTCAAAAACAATAAATAATAGAGTAATTTAAAAATTTATAAGTTCTAAATCGCTACTCTTTTTTGTTTCTTAATGAATCTTTTAGCATATATAAACTAAAATTCTATCAAACTCATAATTAAAGGGATAACTTTGTCCCTATACACATCCCTTCAAAAACAATAAATAATAGAGTAATTTAAAAATTTATAAGTTCTAAATCGCTACTCTTTTTTGTTTCTTAATGAATCTTTTAGCATATATAAACTAAAATTCTATCAAACTCATAATTAAAGGGATAACTTTGTCCCTATACACATCCCTTCAAAAACAATAAATAATAGAGTAATTCTATCAAACATTTTTTAAATTTAATGTTTTGAAAAATATGTTATATGATAAATGAGTAATATTAATAGCAAGAGTAAAATAAACGCAAAAGGTAAATTATCTCTTGATTTTCTAAATTGGACAAATATTGTTGAACAACTATTTTTAGTATAGTGGACAAATATGGTTGGACGGAGGGATTAACAAATACTACCTCCGTCCACTTTAAATTGTCATAATTTTCTTTTTTAGAGTCAAACTATAAAAAGGGATAAAGGTCTGAAAAATACCTCAACTTTGG